TTTTGTCTTTGTTTGGATCAAATCTGTAATAAGGTCAGGAGCCAAGTGGATTTGGCGGAACCCAAGCTGAGCAAGTCATTGCTGAGAAAGTGCTGCTTGATAGCACTGTCGAAGACACCTTCCATCACTTGGATGGTGATTGAGCATAAGCTAACTGGTACTAATAGTTTGTCATGGATTTGTCCTGCCTTTTGTGCATACCCTAGAAAATTACCACACTTGTTGATTCCACAAATGTTGCAGATGTACTACAGATTGAGAGGTGAGCAACTAGCTCTGCGGAAAAACCTTCAGTGCTATTACTAAAATTTTATCAAGGTTGACAGCCCTTGTAGTATCTAATACCTTCATCGTCTCTTGATATCACAAAAATGAAATAAATCTGAAGATTGGTATCTCTGGCACTCGGGACATTGGAGGGTGGCTAATGTGGATCACCCACACAGCACATCTGGGTAAAGTGAGCTGTAAATATTTTGGCCTTCTGTTTGGCTGTGACGTGCTAGATTACCCTATCATTATGTATAATGTTTTTAAATTTGAGTTCTGGTTTTCAAGTCTGTAACTGGTGGGTATTTGAAGCTAGTAATTAGCTGCAGCCATCATGATTTCTTTTAAAACCATTTCTGAGGGCTAGATTTAGATTGAATGGGTTTTCTGCATCAACAATGGACTTTATTTTTAGAATGTTTTGTGACCAGCAAGGTAAATAATGGGCCCTCAAAGTTTTTTAAGAGGCTTGATCTTTTTTTAAGCTTAACTGAAACACTTATAGCTTAGAGAGGGACACTTTTGGTTTCAGTATATACTTTGAGTGAGGAAGAACTGTTAAGTCCTTGGAATAGGATGGCTGTATAGACTGGTGTAGAAGAAATGGATATATACTGAACTAGGTTATCTTAGAGTGAGGATTTAGTGTTAATCCCTGAAGTTTTGTGATAAAATCTTAAGAAGTTATTAAAGCTAAATACATTTATATAGGTATGTGATAGCTCCAGGAAGAAGCTATCTGCAATTCGCATCTAAAAATTGAAGTCACAAATGACTTAAACCGACCCAGGTGTTAAATATAAGGACTCTGGTAGGAGTACTGTGCCAGTACTACTTTGGATTCTGCTGTTTTGTTTCTTTTCAATTTATTAAGTACAGTTTGGAGATTAATGGGATTTTACTTTTACCTGAGTGTTTAAAAATCTTTTAAGTTTAGATAATAAGTAGATAGAACAATGGATCAACAGGGGAATGAGAAAAGTGATAAGTAGTGAAATCAAGGGCCAAGATCAAAGGGACACAATGGAAAATTATGGGAACAGGGCAAGTAATGTTAAAACCAAGTCTTATGGTTTTGTGCAGAAAAAAAGTGTAGGACAGTCAGGATTACAGTCATGGGTGCAGGGTGACCAGGGATAGGAACTGAATATCCAGGGGTATTCAATACTTAGGAAGGGCAGACCACAAGGAAAAGGCAGTAAAAGTTGCATTGCTGGTTAAAAAGGAAATGAATGCAATAGTGAGGAAGGATATTGGCTCCGACTACATAGAATCTCAACGGGTAGAGCTGAGGGACACCCGGGACAAATAAAATTAGTAAGGATTCTACAAAAACCCCAAACTGTAAGGGTGATGCTGGTAGTAGCATTAAAGAGGAAATTAGGGATTAATGCAATAAACTAAAATCTGTAATTATGGGTGACTTAAATCTGCATATAGATTGGACAAATCAAATTAGTATCAATTCTGTATAGGAGGAATTTATGAAGTGTATACAGGATGATTCTCTGGACTAATATGTTGAGGAACCAACTACAGAAGAGAAAATTGATGGAAGTGAAGGGCAATAAATCCCAGGGCCTGATAATCTACATCACAGTGTATTTAAGAAAGTGGCCCCAGAAATAGTGGATGCATTGGTGGTCAGCTTCGAAGATTGTTTAGACTCGAGAACAATTCATACAGATTGGAGGGTAGCTAATGTAGCCTATCGATTTAAAAAGGGAGGTAGTGAGGAAACTGGGAATTATAGACCAGTCAGCCTGGCATGGTAGTCAGGAAAATGCAAGAATTCAGTATAAAAGATATAATAGCTGAGCAATTGGGAAATACTGTCAGGATTGGATTGAGCCAAAATGGATTTATGAAAGGTAAGACATACTTGGCAAATCTGCTGGAATTCTTCAAGGATGTAACTAGTAGAGTTGATGAGGGGGAGCCATTGGACAAGGTTTATTTAGCCTTTCAGAAGGCTTTCAATGAAGTCCAATATGATATCACTAAATGTGATCATTCCAAAAGGGCAGATGACAAAGCTAGTAGGGAGGGTGAACTGCAAGGAGGATGCAGAGATGCTTCAGTGTGATTTGGACAAGCTGAGTGGGTGGTCAAATGCATAGCAGATGCAGTATAATATGGAAAAATGTGAGGTTATCCACTTTGATATCAAAAACAGGAAAGCAGACCCTTATTTGAATGGCTATAAATTAAGAGAGGGGAATGTGCAATGATACCTGGGTAGCCTCATACACCAGTCGCTAAAAGTTAGCATGCAGATGTAGCAAGCAGTAAAGGCAACAAATAGTATGTTGGTCTTTATAGCAAAGGATTTGAGTACTGGAGCAGGAATATCTTGCTGAAATCATACAGGGCCTTGGTGAGACCACACATGGAATATTGTGTCTCCTTATAAGTGGAAAGATGTTCTAGCTATAGACAGTACAATGAAGGTTTACCAGACTAATTCCTGGTATGGCAGGACTGATGTACAAGACTGGATTGGTTAAGACCATAGTCACTGAAGTTTAGAAGGATGAGAAACTCTGTCATAGAAACCTATACAATCCTAACAGTTGGGTATTACATTGGGTAACCAGAAGATGATGTTCCTGATGACAGGGGAGTCCAGAACCAGGGGCCACAATTTATAATACAGGGTGGGCCATTTAGAACTGAGATGAGGGAGCATTTCTTCCCAGAGAGTGGTGATCCTGTGGAATTCTCAGCCACAGAAGGTGGTAGACACCAAAACTTTGAATATTTTATGGATATATGTTTGATGTATGTCTTATGGCTAAAGGGGATCAAAGGGTATGGGGAGAAAACAGGAACAGGGTACTGAGTTGGATGATTGGGCTATGCTCGTATTGAACGGCGAAGTAGACTCAGACGGCTGATGCCTTACTTCTGCACCTATTTTCTATTTTCTTCTGCAAGAAGTCAGTTGGGAGGATGGTGTACACCGACCATGTATTACTAACCACATGGTAGAATGAAGTAAAAGGGAAGAAATAATGGGTGCTTGTCAGAAAGCAGGATTTTAATCTACATATGGACTAGAAAAATCAGATTAGTAAAAAGTAGCCTAGATGAAGACTTCAAAAATGTGTCTGGGACAGTTTCTTCGAACAGCACGTTCTGGAGCTGTACTGAAAACAAAAAGTGCTGGAGATAACAGAGGGTCCGGCAGCATCCATGGAGAGAAAGCAAGCTAATGTTGAGTCTAGACGAAGAGTCATCTAGATTCGAAACATTAGCTTGCTCTCTCTCCATGGATGCTGCCTGATCTGCTGTGATCTCTAGCATATTTTGTTTTCAATACAGATTCCAGCATCTGCAGTAATTTGCTCCTATGTTCTGGAGCAGAGCAGAGTAGATACTATACTAGGTTTGGTATTGTGTTACAAGGTAGGGTTAACTGATGGCATTGTAAGGAAACTGGCCCCAAAGTGGTAACAATCATAATACAAGGGAATTTTACTTCAGTTTGAGGGACTGGGTCCAAGGCTAACACTTTAAATTTAAATAAGGACAATTACAAGGATATAAAAGAAGACATAGCTAAAATGATCTCATAAATTGGATAATTGGATAGGTGAACAGAGATGCAATGGCAGACATTTTAAGCGATATTTCAGCATACACAGAAAGGGTATATTCCAACTTGAAATTAAAATTCCAAGGACACATCATACTGATTAATTTAAAAGAGTTAAAGATATTATCAAAATTTTAGGAAACTCATGCAACTGTGCTAGGATGAGCGGTCAGAACTTTGAGTAAAATCTAAACAAAGGCAAAAAATGACTGAAAGGTTAAAAAAGAAGGAAAAATAGAGTATAAAAAAAATCATACATAAAAGCAGACAGCAAGAGGTTCTATGTACTTGGCTTGAAATCAAATCAGCTATGATCTTATTGAGTGGCAAAGCAGACTCAAGGGGCCAAGGAGGCTAATCCTCCTCCTAATTCACATTTTCATAGGTATGTCAATTTTATAAAATTTAAACTGACATATGGTTTAAGGTCTGATAATTTAGTGAGATCCTAGAAAAATATTGATAACTGTGTGTATTGTTATTTTTTGAGTTAGTGCAATATTTATGCGGCTATAGGCACTGTTATTGGTGGTTTATTGAGGGAGATGCCTCAGAATTATTTTAGGCTTTCAAAAGGAGTTAAATATGCTGTTAACCCATTTATTTTTTCCTGGATTCTGTCAAAAACTGAGCAATATCATTGAGGAAATCTTCTAGTTTCAGTATCCCACGTAGGGACCAAATGAGGGGATTCCTTACCCATGAAAGACAGCCCTGTAATACATTTGGCAATGTTCCAGAGGTTGCTATCTAATTAGCTGCCTTCAAACTCACCATTTAGCTAGAGATCCCAGGCAAGATGAAGATGCTGTTAGCTAAGTTAGAGATCTGACAGTTCTGAAGCCTCAGAAATACCTTAGCTTACATGGGCACCACTGAGATGTGAGATTTAATCCTGCCTTGAAAATATATTTCTTCATTGGTTACATGGACTGTATCACAGACTGCAGCAGTTTAAGACAGCAGACCATCACTATCATCTCAAGGGAACTGGAAATGGGAAGTAAATATTGGCGGTTTCAGCAACACTCACAAGAATGAATCATTAATTCCTGAGCTATCAATTACTCATACGTACTCATACATATTCATACATAGCTTGCATACAAAATAATAATTCACAATTTCTTACCTTGCATTGTCTTTTTTGTGGGTTCAGAAAAAAGTGGAATAAGGAGGAGAAAAATGAGGTACACAAACGATAGCCCATTGTATCGAAACAAACATGCTGAAAGACAAGTGAAAAGAATAATATTCATTTCTGTGCTCTGAGAAGTAACTTGGGATTAATGTCTACTTCCAGAAAACATATTGTGCATTACTTATTTACTCAATGTTTAAGTAAAGTTTTAACATGTAATAACAACTGTAATTAGTTGCCAACTTTTTTATTCATTTACAGGATGTGTGTGTTGTTGGCTAGTCCAATATTTATTGCCCAACCCTAACTGCTGACAGGGCAGTTAAGAGTGAGCCACATTACTGTGGGTCTGGGGTCACATGTAGGCCAGACCAAGTTTGGGCGGCAGATTTCCTTTCCTAAAGGGCATTAGTGAATCAAATGGATTTTTCCTTACAATTGACAACAGTTTCATGGTCATCATGAGACATTTAATTGCAAGTTTTTTACTGAGTTATAAATTCCACCATCTGCCATGATGGGCTTTGAACCCAGATCCCCAGAAAAAAATACCTGGGTCTCTGCATTAAGAGTCTAGCGATAACACTACTTGGCCATCAGCTCCCCTTAATGGCCTAAAAAGTCTGATGTTCAGATTGTTTGAGATGAGACACGTGTTAGAGGATGTATGTGAGGATGCTCTGGAAGCCCACTTACCGTAAGATATAGGACCAGAATTCGGCCATTTAGCCCATCGAGTCTATTCCACCATTCGATCATAGCTGATATGTTTCTCAACCTCATTCTCCTGCCTTCTTCTTCTCACCCTTGATCCCTTCACTTTATCTTCCAACTGGTGTGACCCGGTCTTGTCGACTCCATAGCCCAAGTAGGTCACTTGAGGGCCTGGAACATACACTTTCCCCTTCTTAGACATAGCCTGCCACCGCAATGTGCCTTAGGACTACATCCAAGTTCTCTAAGTGTTCCTTACTAGTTTTCCCTGTTATCAGGATGTCACCTAAGTAAATGGCAACCTGACGTAGATCTTGTAAAATGTTCTCCATCGTTTACTGAAAAATTGAACAGGCTGACAATATGCCGGATGGCACATTAGTATTCAGTGTTGCATATTGGTACAAGCCCTTATTGGTATTAATTGTAGCATACTTCTGAGAATGCTGGTCTAAATGTAATTGCAAGTAAGCGAGGCTCATGTCAAACTTCACCAAAGACAAAAAACCTGTTAGCTTTGCATACAAATCCTCTAACCGAGTGATTGGGTATTTAGCCAACTGTGAAAAACAATTTACTGTTTGTTTAAAATCTCTCACAGAGGCAAACTGATCCATCGGGTTTCAAAATTGGTGACCAGGGCTGTCCATTCTGCTAATTGGACTGGTTTAATGATTCCTTCACTTTCCAGTCTTGAATTCTACCTCTACTTTTGCCGTTAAAGTAAATGGCACTGGACAGGCCTTGCAGAATTTGTTTCCTGGTCAACATGCAAAGTTATTTTGACTCCTCTGATAGTCCCTAGACGTTTCTGGAAAACATTCAGGCATTTAATTAGGACTCCACTCAGGCAGCCATTTTCCAGTTGAAATATTTTGAGCCAATCTAGGTGAATCTTTTTAAACCAGTTTCATTCCATCAAATTTGGGCCCAAGGTTTTTACTACAATCACTGATAACCAAACCAATTGCCTTTCATAACAGACTGGAACAGACATTGTACCCTTAATCCTCAAAAGTTCTACGGTATAGGTTATCAGACAAGCTGAAGTCTTGTGCAAATTTAAGGGCTGGAGTCCAGAGTGAATTTTATTAAAATCTGATCCTGTGATCACTGATATGGCCATGCTAGTATCAAGCTCCATTTGAACCAAATGGCCATTTAACCTGATATTTATCTTGATCGGTTCTGATTTGGATGTTGCTAAGCAATTTAACGGTTCCAAACCAGATGCAGATGGAGTATCTAAGGTGTGAACTCTCCTGGGCAGTCTTCTGGATGCTGGCCTATGACTTTTCTTACTCCATTTAAGTCTAGTAGGACTCTGTTGCTGTCCCAAATCTGCATATCAACAATAATGACAATGTCTTACCAGGCAGGATCCTGAAGAAAATTGGAACTGTTTGACTGAGACTTGGTTTTATTTGTGAGATTTTGCTGTGTGCCAACCTGGAATACTCTTATTAGGATATTTCCTGAGTGAGCTTATGCAGTTGTCTGCACCAAATCTTTGTGTCATCCACAAACTTACTAATCAAGCTACCTACATTCTCCTCCAAATCATTTATATATATTCCATACAGCAGCAGTCCCAGCACTGAGCACTGTAGAACACCACTGGTCACAGATCTCCAGTCAGACAAATACCCTTCCACCACTACACTGTCTTCCCTGACCATGCCAGTTCTGTATCCATCTTACCAACTCACCACAAATCCCACATGACTTCACCTTTTAGATTAGCATGCCATGAGGGACCTTGTCGAAGGCCTTGCTAAAGTCCGTATACACAACATATACTGCTCAGCCCTCAATCATCTTTAACTTTATTACTTCTTCAAAATACTCAATCAAGTTTGTGAAACACAACCTTCCCCATTCAAAGCCATGCTGCCTGTTACAAAGAAATTCATATTTTTCCAAATGTAAGTAAAACCTATCCCTAAGAATCTTCTCCAATAATTTACCAGCCTGCAATTTCCTGGATTATCCATGTTGCCCTTCATAAACAAAGGAAAAATGTTTGCTATTTTCCAGTCCTCTAGGACTGCCACTGTGACTAAAGGAAATACAAATATTTCATATAAGGTCCCAGCAATTTCCTCAGCTGCCTCCCTCAATATTCTGGGATAGAATTCTGGTCTTGTCTACCTTAATGCCACTGCCGCCTAATTTACATTGATCTGCCTTGGAATGTCAATATATCCCTCCTGAGACTCACCATTCTCCGTTGTGTCCTTTTCCATTGTGAATACTGATGCAAAGTATTCACTAAGGACCTCATCTACTTCCTCTAGCTACATGTATAGATTCCCTTTTCCTTGAGTAGACCTTCCCTTTCCTTAGTTCCCACTTGCTCCTCATAAATGCATAAAATGCCTTGGGATTTTCCTTAATCCTGTTCACCAAAGATGTTTCATGGCTCCTTTTAGCACTCCTAATTCCTTTTGAGTTCTTTCCTGCTATCTTTGTATGCTTTGGTGTCTCTGTCTGTCTTCAGTTTCCTAAAACTTATGAATGTCTCCTTTTCCTTGTTGAATAAGCTCTCAATTTCTCAAGGTTCCCGAATCTTACCATCCTTATCATTCATTATTATAGGAGCATGCAGGCCCTGAACTCTAATCAACTGGCCTTTAAAATATCCCACATGCCAGATGTGGACTAACCCTCAAACTGCTGCCCCCAATCCACATTCGCCAATTCCTCCCTAAGTGGTAGTTAGCCTTCTGCCTTGATGCTTTCACCCAAGGATTACTCTTTATTCATAAGTAGTGTAAAACTTACAGAATTATGGTCACTGTTCCCAAAATTCTGCCCTACTGAAAGTTCAATCGCCTGGCCAGCCTCATTCTCCAACACCAGGTCTAGTATCGTCCTTCTCCAGTTATTACACATTGTTTTAAAAAGAATCCCCCCTGGGCACACCTATCAAATTCCTTCCATCCCGAATCACTGGCACTAAGTGAGCCCCTGTCAATATGTAAGATAAAATCATCCGCCACAACAACCATGTTGTTTTTACATTTTTCCATAATCTGTCCACATATCTGTTCCTCTATCACTGGCTGGCTGTTAGGAGGCCTGTTGTACAATCTCATTAGTCTGATTGCACCCTTGCTATTCCTGAGCTCTATCCATGTGTCCTCCTGCAGTAGAGCTATGATATTCTCTTTTATCAATAATGTAACTCCTCCACTTGTTTCAAGTATTTCAGGGTCAAGCAGCATCTGCTCAGAGATTATAAACTGGGGGCCAAGTTACACACAACGTAATGCATCGGGGAGGGAGGGCAGTTATCCTGATTCCTTAGCTTAAAAGATGATACTTCTTAGGATTGAGCCTTCTGATTTGTTCAGGATCAGAACAGCGTGATTGCAAGTAAGAAAGGAAATGTGACTCAGGTGGCAGGAATGCAGAAGCTCAGCCATTGATATTGTCCAGCAGGTTTGTGACTCTTTTTGGTTGTTTGAATGAAAGAGTGAAGGGTAGATGAGCTAATTGCCCATGGTGCTGCAATCAGGGAGCCATTCTAGTGTGTGGGGAAGCAAAATAGAACAAAGTGATAGTAGAGGAAAGTATAATCAGAGGGATTGCCACAGTGACAGTCTATTGACAGAGTCCTCTTGCTTTCACTTGAAATAAATAGGGAGGTTTCAGTCCTCCTCTTTGCTTAAAAGCTTTGGTCCAGCAATATCTGGAATTGAGAAGTCTCAGCCCCGCAAACTTTTGTAAGTCTCATTGTGAGCTATACTTTTCACTTGAGGATTTTAATATCAAAGTAATTATCCCTCAATTAGCCTTTTCATGACGTGGTTTAAAAAATCTCAGGGCATGTGATCTATAAATTTCTTTGTGATTTCCTGTCAGCTGTGTCCTCATTTATTTTTAACTACTTTTCTTACAAACTGAAGTCCAAGACTTTAAGTTAGTCAATGAGATATTGCAACTTCATAGTCTGTATTTTATATTATCTCGAAACTGTTTAACGAAGGTGAAAATTTTGTCTGCTTTGCTACAGTAAAATGTGTGATCCATCCTGTCTGAGTCTCCAGGCCACTCTGGGAAAGACTGCTCCAAAGAACTTACTTCTCATAGCTTTCTGGGTGTTCATTAAGCAGATATAACCTCAGTGAAAATTTCAGCCATCTTTGGTCATTGTAATACATACCAGAAACATTAGGCACTACTTGTTCATGGAATATCAATTATATTGTTAAGATATTCAGGTGTAGGGCATTGAATTTGCCACTGGTTTTCCCCACAAAGATCACATCTGTCCAGAATGAGGGAATTATATTGGCCACAAGAAGCTTCAGTGTGATAATGAAAGTGTTAGTCATGGATTCATTTAATTGTATGCTGTGGAACAGTGT